AAATATTCAAAAGCAACTGAAATTAAAGAAAATTGGATTAAGATGGCACATAGGTGGTACATTACACTGCATAGAATAGGAAAATTCAGTAAAATGCAAACACAAAATGTTGGAAATGCGGAACACAAGAAGGGACGTACTACCACCTATGGTGGACTTGTCCAAAGGCAACATCATATTGGAGGATGATACACAAAACACTACAAAAAAAACTAGAGATAAAATATACCTCAAAAACCAGAAACCTTCCTACTAGGCATACACAATATAAAAATGGAAAAAAACAAAGACAAATTTTTATTCTTGCTGACAACAGCAGCTAGAATAATATATGCAAGACACTGGAAAAAGAAAGATCCCCCAGAAGAAGAAGAATGGTTAACAAAAATATTAGATATAAGAAATATGGACAAACTGACGTATTTACTATCAAAAAAGAAGGGCATTCCGATGGCGGAAACGGACTGGAAACATGTAACAACATACTTAATAAAAGAAAAGAATATGAAAATGCTTATTTAAATGCACATGACTGAGGAAATAGAAATAGGGGAGAGCAAGACACAAAAGAAAAAGAAAGAAGAAAAAAGGAAGAAGGAAAAGGATAAGAAATCTCCAAAAGATACCAGGAAGTCAATGCAACGCTCACAAAAGCACACCCCCCCTACCCCCCACTACTAATTTCAAAATTTCTTTTCTTACACCCTCCACACAACAGGAAACCAGCGTCTCTTAACACAACGAGATCCAGGAAAACAGGAAACCGAATCGGCTCAAAGATAAACTGGACACTCCCTATCATATCTTTCTCTCTAGCCCCTCTTTCCCCCTCTTTTTTCCCTTCTTTCTTTTCCCTCCGTACAGTGAGAAACTTTTATAAGTTTAAAAGTTTCCTGTACTATCTATCTGTATACCTATATTTTTAAGAAAAGCAATAAAGATTATATTTTTTTAAAAAAGGAAAACCCTTATATTTTTAAGACTGTGGGAAATAACTTATATGGGATTCTAGGACAAGAAGCAGACGGAGACGGTAAAAGCCAGGACCGGAAGCAGACGTAACCAGTGGAGGAGATAGGGTACGAGGGAGAGAAGCAGACGTGGCCAGGAAGAGAAGAAGAAGATTGGAAAATTAAGTGAAAAAGATAAGATATTTAGAAGGAATAAGAAAATAAGATTTGATTTTAAAAAGTGATCGAATTAATGGATATTTAAGCAGCAAGAAAGAAATAACAGTGAATTAATTGATATTAAATTTAATGAATTCAAATTGAAGATAATTGGAATCCAAAGAATTAATTACTCAGAACCAAATAAGGACAATATTAATGAATTAAATATAAATTTGGTGGGGGTAAATATTAAATATAAATAGAAAAATAAGGAAACAGATGACCTTTTCTTCCATTGGAGTTAATTAAAGAAATATCCAGATTTATAAATTAATTAAAGAGTAGATGTCATCGAAAGGGAAAGAGGATAAGGAGAAAATTCATTTAAGGAGAGGATCATTAGATACCGTTTTCAACATGGAAATATTTTGAAAGAAATGTCTGAAAAACAAAATGCACTAAAGAAAGATATGGCAGATAAACAAGAAGAACATTTTAAAAAGCAAGAGCAGAATTATAATAAGATGACGGAGGAGTTTCAAGAAATGAAAAAAAAAGATGGATGAAGAATTTGGGCAAATAAAAAAAGATATAACTCAGTTATATGGAGAAGTAAAAGAATTGAAAACCAGTAAAGAAAAAACAGAAGAAACACAATCCCAGATCCTGAAGAAGATTAAAGGTATAGATAAACAAAAGGAAAAATTGGAGATAGAACAAGAAAAAATATTACAAAGGCAAATGGATTACCATTTAAGATTCAGAAATATACAAGAAGAAAATCAGGAAGATATTGGTCAGATTATGTCGAATCTAATTGCAAAATGCTTGGAGTGTGAAAAAGACGAATTGGAATTGGAGCTGGACCAAATATATCGAGTATCTTCATTTTATTCAAGGAAAAATAAGACAGCAAGAGATGTGATAGTCCAGTTCACGTGAAGAAAAACTAGAGATGAAGTTTTATATAGAAGTAATAAGAATCCAATTTACTACAAAGAAACCAAGATTGCGGTCTTAAAGGAGTTCCAACAAGCGACATTAAACAGAAGAAGAAAGTATTACTTCCTTACGGATGAATTAAAGAAAAGATCAATCAGATTCAGATGGGAAAGAATTGAAGGCATCATGGTGACATACAAAGAAGAAAGATACTGGTTGACATCGGAACAAAAAGCCAAGGTCTTCTATGAAAATCTAATGAAGGAATCAGAAGAGGGAAAACAAGGAGGAAGAAACGGGGACAAAAAAGCATTGACACCTGGAAACGGGAATGGCAAGGAAAAAAAGAAGCCAAGATTTGATTCCCCGGAATACTACGGTCATTTTAGTAAGAGCCAAGGGAGTAGAACGATAACATCAGAAGACCTAGGAGAAGGTGCATATGGCCCGGATGTGACAGCGCAGGGAATATCGGAACTGAACTTGGGCGACATAGGACTAGATACAAACACGATTGGATAAAATGGCAGAACGACAGATTAAATGTTATTCAAACAATATAAATGGTCTAAACTCACCCCAGAAACTTAAAAAAGTCTTCGACAAATTACGAAAGGCGAATCTGGATATCATCCTATTACAAGAAACACACATTTGCCATAAACATGTGGCACATTTGGAAAATAAAAATTAGGCAAGACATTTTATTCATCCTATGAAAAGAAGAAAAGAGGAGTAGTTACATATGTAAAGGAAAATTTATCACCAGAATTGGCATTTAAAGATGTGGAGGGAAGATGTGTTGCAGTAAAAATTTTGATGGGAAGTCTGAAAATTTTAGTATGTAACATTTATGCACCAAATAGCCCAAAGACTAAATTCATTCAATTTTTACACTCAAAATTGAGAGAAACTGAATTTGACGAGCTCTTATTGATTGGGGATTTTAATGGAGTGATGGACAAGCAGAAAGACAAGAAGAAGACAAAAAGAAATGGGGGAATGGTTTATTGCCCCAATTTTTTTTAACTTCAAAAGGAATTTGATCTGGAAGACACTTGGAGAATAAGAAATGAAAAGAAACAGGACTATACTTTTTACTCTCATAGACATCAAACATGGTCAAGGATTGATATGGTTTGGATAACAAAAAAATTAGCTACTAAAATAGTAGAAATGGAGATACTACCTAGAGATATCTCAGACCAGTGTCCATTGGGAATAACAATAAATCACTCTTTTTTATTTTTTATTTTTGCTTTTTGGTGTTTTTTTCTCTCTTTTTTCTTTCTATTATTATTATTTTGGATTTTTTATTTTGGACATTTGACGTTCCTTTTTTCTTCTTCTTTTTCTTCTTTTTTTTAATCTTAGTGGGGTGGGGGTGCTCTCTATTTTTTTCCTACTGTTCTATCTTTTTTTAAAATATTCACCCCCTTTCGTTGTAATTTTCAAATACTTTCATAAAAAACTATTTTAAAAGAAGTTGTACAGAGTTGTTAGAAGGAAAAAGAGCCCAACATTGTTTGAAGAGGGGACACAACTTGTAGTACCTCAGAAGTATCGTGCTAAGATATTTAAGTTGGCTCACGATGTACCTTTTAGCGAGTATTTGGGCATTAAAAAGACAAAGGAGAGAATACAAGCCTGTTTCTTTTGGCCAAACATGGGTCGGGACGTCACCACTTACTGCAAGACATGCGAGACGTGTCAGTTAGAGGGGAAAGCAAAGGATAAGACAAAGGGGCTTTTACAATCCATCCCTATTGTCACCACACCAAAATGTGACTGGATAAGTTAGAGTGGGCAGAACCTAACTTGGCAGGAGGGGGAAAAATTCTTTAAGGAGAGGTTTTTTAATCCCCGTCAGGAGATTGAACTTGGGTGTTGAAGGGAGAGGGTGTTTGTAGATTGGAGTGGTGTAGAGGGTTAGTGGGAAAGGCCTGGGTTTGGCCAGAGTTACTAGCTGGGACAGCTAGTGAGGAGTTTACAGCTATTGGGAGGATAGCTGGGAAGTAGTAAGATAGATCCAGGCTGGGAGTATCTGTGCTGCTTGAGAATTACTTTCAGAGAAACTATCCTGTCAGGATTCTTGTCTGGAGGGAGAAAGAAGAGTTTCTTGTATAACAAAGTCAGAACTATTTATTAGGCTTGGGCGGTTTCGTTCATTAATTTTGTAATTCGTTATTAATTGGTATTTAAATTAGCTTACGATCCAATATTGAGCCATGCAGGACTACTGTGAGGAGTAATTAAAGATCGAAACAATTTTTCCAATTTATTTTGTATTGTTTCGTAATTGTTTTGTAATTGGTTCAAAATTGTTTCGAAATTGTTTCGTAATTGTTTCGTAATTATTTCCGTATGTCTGGTGCAAGTTTTATAGTTGTTTTTTGTTTTATCAAAATAAATTATCACACCAACAGTCAACAACAGAGGGAGAAGGAAGCTTCAGAAGTTCCCCCTGTCCCATTTGGAGTTTTTTTTAGCATATTGCACAATCGCGTCCGCCATTAATGAATCGATTCGTAATTTTACAAAATTTCATACATTTCAAACTTTTTTAAAAGAAAATTTCGGAATTCTTTTAAAAAACAAAACACAAGGGCCCCCCTAAAAACGAAACGAGTTTAGAACCAAATTTTTCCGTTGTTACCCAAGCCTACTATTTATGTAACCACATGCTTTCTAGACAAATCTCTGTAACAGCCAAGCTTTAGTACCTGCATTGTTCCTGTTCTTGTAAACAAACCTTATTGTTTATTGTTCATCACATCTGACTCAAGTGTGCCTCTGTGCTTGAAGGTTTAAAAGCAGCTTTAAGCAGCGTATGTTTTGAAGAACTAACTTTAAAGGGTACCTCAGAAACACAAGCCTGAGTGCTATCCAATCACTCTCTTGCATGAGTTACCTAAAGTAAGCCAATGGCTTTATAAATTAATTTGGGATAGGCTGCAAATGGAATAATTTAGTACGGCTTGTAGCTATTTTGATGACCTCGTCTCCGAGACACCTTCCCGTAACCACCCTGCTGATTGCTATAATCACCATAGCCATAGTAGTAGTTGTAGCCTGTGTAGTCATAGCCTCCATAACCTCCATAGCCTCCACTGTTGTATCCATAGTTGCCGTAGCCCTGATTCCAGTAATTACTATATCCTGAGTTCCAGCTTTGATTGGGTCCTCCACCTCGGCCACGGGCTCTTCCTGGAAATCCCCATCGGACTCCCCACTGCTGTTGCTGTTGATATTGTTCTTTTGACATGGCTACTTTTATTTCACACTTGCTGAGACCAACATTGTGGTATTTTTTCTCCATAATTTTCTTCACTGGCTCTTCATCTTTGAAAGTAATGAAGCAAAATTCTCGGCGCTTGTTGGTTTTGTTGTCCATGGGAAGTAGGGCTGGGCAACCCCGGAAAAATTTGTTTCTAAACTCGATTTGTTTTTAGGGGGTTTTTGCGTTTCGTTTTTTAAAAGAATTCCAAAATTTTTCTTTAAAAAAGTTCGATATTTACGAAATTTCGGAAATTACGAAACAATTACGAAACAATTACGAATCGATTCGTTAATGGCGGACGCAATTGCGCAATATGCAAAAAAACCCCTCCAAATGGGACAGGGGGAACTTCTGAAGCTTCCCTCTCCCTCTGTTGTTGACTGTTGGTGTGATAATTTATTTTTTATCACTGATAAAACAAACAACAACCATAAAACTTGCACCAGACATACGGAAATAATAACGAAATAATAACGAAACAATTACGAAACAATTACGAAACAATTACGAAATAAATTTTAAAAATTCGTTTCGATTTTTAGTTGCTCCTGAATGGTTCAATATCGCTTCATTATAAAAAAAATAACAAATTAATAACGAATTACGAAATTGACGAACGAAACCGCCCAGCCCTAATGGGAAGCTCTATCGATTCCACCTCACCAAATCCTCCAAAGTATTCCCTTATTTTCTCTTCAGGTGTATCTGGAGACAAGCCCCCAACAAAAATCTTTTTAACTGGCTCTTTTGCTTTCATTGCTTTTGATCTTTTAGGATCAATCACTTTGCCATTCAATTTATGTTCTTTCTGACCTTGTCAACACTCTCAGCCTCCTTGAACAATATAAAGCCAAAGCCTCTTGATCGTCCTGTAATAGGGTCCAACTTCAGAGTGCAATCCAAAACTTCACCAAATTTAGTGAAATAGTCCTTCAGATCTTTCTTCGTAGTGTCCCAGCTAAGGCCTCCAATGAACATTTTCCCAACGTACCCTTCATCCTCCTCATTCTTGCTGGCGTCGATTTTGGCGCCTTCGAATTCGCCGCTGCCCCTCCGCCGGCGCCTTCCGTGCCATCATCTTCGTCGTTCCCTCCGACCTCGACTCCTTCCAGCTGCTCGGCCTCCTCGTCAAAGGTCTCGGCTGCCGCTGCGTCTCCCATGAACTCTTGGTCCGATATATTGGGAGTTAAGGAGAAAGCGGGACTCGGCAAAACGGGGAGGAAAGCCAGCTCAAACTAAAGCAGACGACCGCAGCCTCGCTTTCCCCTTCCTTCCTTCCTTCCTTCCTTCCTTCCTTCCTTCCTTCCTTCCTTCCTTCCTTCCTTTCTCTCACAGTTCCTTTGCATGCCTTTTCCAAGGTTTTTTGCCAGGAAGAAAGTGCCAGCTTTCTATCTTCAGCTTTTTGGGTTTTGGGGCTTGTAAACGCAGAAGCCTCATTTCAATCTCAAGGGGTGTTTTGCTGTGTTTGGGATTTTTATTATTATTTCCCTAATAAATCCTTAACATCTTTATAGGGGGCCTGTCTGATAACCTTGGGGAGTGAGTTCCAGAGATGGGGTGCCACCATAGAGAAGGCTCTCTCCCTCATCCCCACACCTGTGAAGGGGGCGGGAGCAAGAGCAGGGCCTCTCCAGATGATCAAAGAGATCGCGTGGGTTCGTAAACAGATATGCAATAACTCCCTCATCCCCAGGGCCCTCATCCACATCAATATGAACATCATTATGAACATCATTCACATCAGACACAATCACAGGCTGTCCAGTAGGGCTGGGCGGTTTCGTTTCGTTAATTCGTAATTCGTTAAAAATTTGTTATTTTTTTTGTTAACGAAGCGATAACGAACCATTCTGGAGCAACTTAAAAACGAAACGAATTTTTCAATTCGTTTAGTAAATGCTTCGTATTCCGTTATGTATTCGTTTCGTTATCGGTTTGAGGTCGTTTCGTTATTATTTCCGCATGTCTGGGGCAAGTTTTATAGTTGTTTTTTGTTTAATTAGTGAAAAAAAATTATAATATCACACCAACAGTCAACAACAGAGGGAGAGGGAAGCTTCAGAAGTTTTTTTAGCGTATTGCGCGATCGCGGCCGCCATTAACTAATCGATTCGTTATTGTTTCGTTATTGTTTTGTAATTTTTTTACCATTTATGAAATTTCGTAAATATCGAACTTTTTTAAAGGAAAATTTCGTAATTCTTTTAAATATCAAAACGCAAAAAACCCCAAAAAACGAATCAATTTTAGAAACAAATTTTTCCGTTGTTATCCAGGCCTACTGTCCAGGCTGAGCATCAGGCTGACATACAACACCTGTTGTTGTTCATTCGTTCAGTCGTCTCCGACTCTTTGTGACCTCATGGACCAGCCCACGCCAGAGCTCCCTGTCGGCCATCACCACCCCCAGCTCCCTCAAGGTCAGTCCAGTCGCTTCAAGGATGCCATCCATCCATCTTGCCCTTGGTCAGCCCCTCTTTCTTTTGCCTTCCACTTTCCCCAGCATAATTGTCTTCTCCAGGCTTGCTGTCTCCTCATGATGTGGCCAAAGTATTTCAACTTTGTCTCTAGTATCCTTCCCTCCAATGAGCAGTCAGGCTTTATTTCCTGGAGGATGGACTGGTTGGATCTTCTCGCAGTCCAAGGCACTCTCAGCACTTTCCTCCAACACCACAGCTCAAAAGCATCGATCTTCCTTCGCTCAGCCTTCCCTAAGGTCCAGCTCTCACATCCGTAGGTGACTACAGGGAATACCATGTCTTTGACTATGCGGATCTTTGTTGCCAATGTGATGTCTCTACTCTTTACTATTTTATCGAGATTGGACATTGCTCTCCTCCCAAGAAGTAAGCGTCTTCTGATTTCCTGGCCACAGTCTGCATCTGCAGTAATCTTTGCACCTAGAAATACAAAGTCTGTCACGGCCTCCACATTTTCTCCCTTTATTTCCCAGTTGTCAATCATTCTTGTTGCCATAATCTTGGTTTTTTTTATGTTTAGCTGCAACCCGGCTTTTGTGCTTTCTTCTTTCACCTTGATTAGAAGGCTCCTCAGCTCCTCCTCGCTTTCGGCCATCAGAGTGGTGTCATCTGCATATCTGAGGTTGTTAATGTTTCTTCCAGCAATTTTCACCCCAGCTTTGCATTCCTCAAGCCCCGCACATCCTCGCATGATGTGTTCTGCATACACGTTAAAAAGGTTGGGTGAGAGGATGCAGCCTTGCCGTACGCCTTTCCCAATCTTGAACCAGTCTGTTGTTCCATGGTCAGTTCTTACTGTTGCTACTTGGTCCTTATACAGATTCCTCAGGAGAGAGACAAGGGATTTGGTATGCCCATCCCACCAAGAACTTGCCACAATTTATTATGATCCACACAGTCAAAGGCTTTAGAATAGTCAATGAAGCAGAAATAGATGTTTTTCTGAAACTCCCTGCCTTTCTCCATTATCCAGCGGATATTGGCAATCTGGTCTCTCATTCCTCTGCCTTTTCTAAACCCAGCTTCAACATCTGGCAACTCCTGCTCCATGTCTTGCTGGAGTCTTCCTTGCAGGATCTTGAGCATTACCTTACTGGAATGAGAAATAAGGGCCACTGTACGGAAGTTTGAGCAGTCTTTCGCATTTCCTTTTTTTGGTATACAACACCTAGCTTGCCTCTATTTCAGCCCATCAGGGGAGGGAGTGGGAAATCTGAGTCACTGTCAGAACTGTATAAGATGTCTTGTATTTTTCCAAGAATTTATGCTTGTACCTTTTGAAACGTATTGCTTGTACTTGCAACCTTTTTGGCTGAATTGTTTTGCCAAACAAAGCTCCTGGGGAGCTTGTTTCTCTGTCCTGGTTAAGGTGGTTTAGCGGATGCTCACCAAGCACTGACTTCTTAACTGTGGTCATAGCTGAAATCACTACATCAACACCCATAGTAAATAACTTAATCTCAGGAAAAGAGTAGGCAGCTGGGAGCCCTCCAAATCCTCCCTGTGACTCTCTCAGGGGAATCAACAACATTCATTTGTATATGCACATATTTTATCTGGAACAATTAAGCATACAGCAACACCCACCCAAAATGCTCCTTGAACTCATTTACAAGCTGCAAATAACCCGAGACACACTCATTACAATTTTTATGAAGTCAACTGGCAGCTTCCTGGATCTTTGATCAAGCAACCTTTTGTCATGTAAATCAGATTTGTAATAACATGATTTAATCCAGAGAAGATTAGGCCATATATTTACATGCGGATTAGAAAAGCAAAATGGCTATCATTACATTCCAGTGATTGAAGGCATGATGATTGCAGAATCTCCTTAGCAATTATGCAAAAATTAGCAGTTATGCAAAATTAATAGCAAAGAGACAAAACTTGAAAAAGGAGGGATCGAAAAGGCTCAGAGAGATTTATTTAAATAGAGTATTTTGAGTATAGCAATAGAAACTTTAAATTACTAGCTAATGCAACACAAACTAGGAAGCAAAAGAAATTAATAACTGTGATTTAAGGAAAGGATGGAAAACAGTGCACGATAATGGAAGATAAACTACTAATCTTTCAGGAATTTTATCAGGATCTATATACAGCAAATGAAGGACCTAGAAAGAAAGTTGAAGAGTATATAGATAAACACTGGAAAATAAAGATCCAAGAAATGGACAAATTAACTATGGAACAAGCACTATCAGAGAAGGCGATTAAGGAAATTATAGATTTATATATAAATATATTAAGGAGGATCAGTGTGGATTTATAGGAGGAAGACAAATGTCAAATTTAATGGGTAGGGTATTAAACGTAATTCATTGTATTAAAAAAAGAAAATTAGTGGCAGGAGTATTCGCTTTGGATATTTATAAAGCATTTGATAGTGTATCCTGGCAGACCATGAAATTAATACTAGATAAATTTGGATTTGGAGAAAAAAGTAGAAACCTAATTGATAAATTATATTCATAAATTTATACATGAGTAATGGTGAACAATGGCTTAACAGGGAAAATAGATATAACACGAGGCACGCGGCATGGATGTCCTCTTTCCCCAATTTTATTCGCAATTGTAATGGAACTATTAACTAATGTAATAAGACAAGACAGTAGTATAAAAGGAAAGGAATAGGAATAAGAGAAATATAAAATAAATTTGTTTGCAGATGATACACTTTTATCAATGGAACATGCAATAAAACAATGGGAGAAAATTGAGACTTCTTTAACAGAATTCGGCTTAATAACAGGTTTACAAATTAATTGGAACAAATCGGAAATGATGATATTTAATTATCAAGGAGATAAAAAATTTAAAACAGGAGGGGAAAATAAAAATAAAAGAAGACCAAACTATTAAAGGAGCAAAAATTGGCAAACATGAGTATAAAATACATGCCTTTGCAGATGATGTATTAGGAATTGAAGAAGACCCATGTAATAATTTACAGGATTGAATTCAAAAGATAAATGATTTTGGGAAAGTGGCAGGATTTAAGATGAACAGGTAAAAACAAAAATAATAACCAAGAATGTAGAGAAGAAGAAACAAGATAAGATCAAAGAATTAATAGGATTGGAAATTACAAAGAAATTAAAATACTTAGGAATATGGATAACGGCAAAAAATGGACAATTGCTTAAAATAATTATGAGATGATCTGGGGAAAAAATTCAGAAGGACTTACAAAATTGGAAAAAAAATTGAAGTTATCCCTGTTGGGGAGTATTTCTTTAATAAAAATGAACATCCTGCCAAAACTAATATCTCGATTCCAGAGCCTACCTGTAATCAGGAATCAAGTGATATTCAAAAAATGGAATAAAGACCTGTTAAAATTCGTATGGGAATGAAAGAGACCAAGAATAAATTATATAAATTTAATAGATAATAAAGCAAAAGGAGGTCTGGGATTTCCAGACTTAAAGACTTATCATGATGCTTGCTCTCTCTCATGGATTAAAGACTGGATGTTATTGAAAAAAGAAGCATGTTTACACTTAGAAGGTAATGACCTGAGAGTGGGCTGGCATGCTTATACATGGTATGATAGAGAAATTAAGGGGGAAAAATTGGGAACCATTTTGTTAGACCATCTTTGTTAAGAATATGGCAAAAATATTAAAGACATTTCTACAATAAAACTCCGTTATGGGTCTCCCTGATGAAAGCCCATCAAAGAAGGTTATTGGGATGGCGAATATGGCCAACATACAAAGACATTTTAGTTAAAAACACAAATAACATAAAATCAGATGAAGAACTAAAAAGGACTTTTTACAACTTTACATGGCTCCACTACCTATTTTAGTCATTATAGCCTTATTATCATTATTTCTGGCATTATGTTGTATCAGATGGCCTCTTAAAACCACTTTTAAAGCATCCCAGGTCACATGAGGTTTTGTCTCAATAGTATCATTTCTTGATAAATAGTCTTGAATTATCTTCTTGTATTTTTCTTTATCTTCCTCCAATTTAATTAGATTCTCATTTAACCTCCATTTCCTATACTGATTTTTTTTGGTAAATTATTATTTCCAAGGGACAATGATCAGATAAGTCTCTAAAATATATTAAAGTCCTTAACTTTTGTAGCTATTTTTTTTTAGATATCCATGCCATATCAATCCTTGACCATGATTGATGTCTATGAGAAAAAAGTATAATCTTTCTTTTGCTCATTTCTTACTCTCCATGGATCATTTAAGCCAAATTCCTCTTGCAATTCGTGAAATTTCTGAGGAAGGATACCGTTTCCAAAATCACCCTTCCTTTTAATTTTGCTTTTATCCCAATGATTATTCATTACCCCATTGCAGTCACCAATCAGGAGAAGTTTGTCATTTAATCAATTTTCTTCATATTGGTTCTCAAGTATTGAATAAATTTTGTTTTTGGTCCATTGGGTGCATAAATGTTACATATTACAATTTTAGCATCTCCAATTGTTATTTTTACTGCTACACACCTTCTCTCTTGGTTCTTGAAAGCTAACTCTGATAGAATGTTCTCCTTTACATAAGTAATTACTCCTCTTTTCTTTTTCTCAAAAGAAGAGTAATACATCTTTCCCAATTTTATATTTGAGAGGTGTGCTGCATGTTTATGACAAATATGCATTTTCTGGAGAGGTATTATGTCATAATTATTTCGTTTCAATTTATTAAATACATTTTTGCATTTCTGGGGTGAATTAAGACCATTGATATTATTTGAAAAGCACTTTATTTGTCTCTCTGCCATTTTATTCATTTTCTTCTAAATCCGATCCAACATTACCAATATCCAATTCAGAGATCCCAGTCGCCGTTTCCTCCAAACCGACCACTACAGACTCTAAGTCTTTTGTTGTTACTGGTCCCCATCCTTGTTCCATCGTTAGTGTACTATATTCTTCAGGGGAGTCATATCTTGCTTTTTATTTTTATTTCCTTTTCTAGGGGTAGATTCTTGTTTGTCTCCTCATTCTGATGCTTGCATTAATTTTTCATAAAAGGCTCTGGCCTTCTCTTCACTCGTTAGCCAATACCTTTTCTCGTTATGTTACCATTATTCCTTCACGCCTCTCCCATCTGTATCTGATTTCTCTTTTTTTTTAGTTCTTCAGTAAGAAAGTAGTAATTCTTTCTTCTATTTAAAGTCATTTGTGGGAATTCTTTAAGGATGGTGATCTTATTGCCTTTGTACTAGATGGGATTTTTACCATTCTTTCGTAACACTTCATCCCTTATTCTTTTCTTAGAGAATTGTACGATTACATCCCTTGGCATCTTATTTTTCCTAGCATAGAATGATGAGATCCTGTAAATTTGGTCAATTTCTTGTTCCAATTCATTTTCCTCAGATTCCAAACACACAGCGAGAAATTTAGTTATAATTTGTCTTATGTCTTCTTTTGTTTCCTCTTGTATATTCCTGAATCTTAATTGGTAATCCATTTGCATTTGTAGTAATTTTTCTTGTTCTAGTTCCATTTTCTCCTTTTGTTTTGTAAGGAAGGAATGTCTGAATGCATGTAGAAAAGAAAAAACAGGCCTAAAAAGAAAATGGAGTTCTCGCAAGGCATGATATGGGATGAACTTGGCAGTCAAAGCGAGGAGGCAGCAAGGCATAACTGAATGACAATGAACAATAAGGTGTGCGGTCAAGCAAGTAAGGAGTGTGCAGGAGATATCCCATAAGTCATGAGGCCTGGATTGAGGATGTCCTGGACTGGAATGGACTTGAAAGGATCAGAACAACCTGATTATTAAAAAGAAGAAAAGAAGAAAAATGGATTTTGGTCTATAAATGCAGGGGACCCCAAGAGCATTCACGCTGCCTGATCCATGGCAACGGAGTGTGCGCACCTCCTCGGAAAAGAATGATCATCTTCGCCAGAGGAGGCCTGTGTGTGCGTGAGTTTGCGTGAATGTGTGTGTGCATGAGAGCTCTCCTTGATGTGGTTCTGATATGATTATGTGATGATTGTATTTCAATAAATGTTACATGAATAGTATCACAACCAAATTTGGTCTCTAAAGTGTCTCATTGATCTAAACTACCTTACTATTCCTTGAACACTGCACAAAGAACAGGAATCTCTTTGGGTTCATAACATCCCCGCCAAATGTGCTTGTGACCAAGGGACGCGACCGTGCAATACGCTAAAAAACCCTCCAAATGGGACAGGGGGAACTTCTGAAGCTTCCCTCTCCCTCTGTTGTTGACTGTTGGTGTGATAATTATATACTTTTTTTCACTGATAAAACAAACAACAACTATAAAACTTGCACCAGACATGCGGAAATAATAACGAAATGATTTCGAAACAATTTCGAAACAATTACGAAACAATTACGAAACGAATTGAAAAATTAGTTTCGATTTTTAGTTGCTCCTGATTGGTTCAATATCGCTTCGTTATAAAAAAAATAACGAAGTAATAACGAATTACGAAATTAACAAACGAAACCGCCCAGCCCTACCTCACACTATTCCTGCATGGCTCAATATTGGATCGTAAACTAATTTAAATACGAATTAATAACGAATTACGAAATTAACAAACGAAACCGCCCAAGCCTAATATATATGTGTTTCCTATTTATGTACTCACATTTGTTTTCGAACTGCTAGGTTGGCAAAAGCTGGACTAAAGCTCAGGCCATCACCCTGATCTAAGCTTCGAACTATCAACCTTCTGGTTGGCAAGATTTATTGCAGCTTGGTGATTACCCTGCTGTGCTAAAGCCCGACCTCTACATGGAACCCTTTTGGCCATGGAACACTTTGAAAAACAAGCCCTAGGAACAGCAACAAAAAAGCCCACTGTGTGGTTCAGTTTTCTGGATGACAACTTTACCATTTTGAGCCATAGGGGCTGAGCTTAGCACAGAAGAGTAAGCTGCTCTGCTGCAGAAAAGTCCTGCTGACCAAAAGGACAGCAGTTCAAGCCTAGGTCAGTGTGAGTACCCGCTGTTTGCTCCAGCTCACCTGCTCACCTAGCAGGTTGAAAGCAGAAATTTTGCTAGTTTCCAACAGACCTCACAACCACCGAGGAGGCCTGCCATAGATGCAGGCGAAACATCTGGAGAGAATGCTTCTAGAACATGGCCATACAGTCTGAAAAAACTAAGACAACCCAGTGATTTCGGCCATGAAAGCCTTTGACAATAAAATAAAACATGTGTTTTATATACTTTTAATGAAATTATTTATATGCTGGCAATGGAGTTTCATTCCTGGGTATTCCAGTGGCCAACGACCATAGCCAAACAATATTCCGTGTACTCCGTCCTCGATGTGATGCCACGTCACTGGGACGTCGTTGTCCTCTAGCCGTTTCTTGAATAAGAGCCCATCGTCTCGGAAAACATCGTATTCACAGGTTAGAAGGAAAGTCTTGGGCAGCTGGTGGATCACGTCATCTTCTGCTAAAAGTGGGGAATACATGGGGTTGGTTACTTCTTTCATGATTTCGTAAAGTTCTTGGTTAAACGGAGGCCGCTCCATGGGCACGTAACCCCTGCCCTTAAATCTTTCTGGAATGTCATCGGGATTGACCCATTTCCTGTATTTCATCCACACATGTTCGGGTAGATGAGCATTCTTCATGATGTCCTCCACGTTGACCTCCTTTGCAGTCAGAAGCCGGATAGCAATCTTCAAGGCATGTTTCTTGAACAGGAAAGGGACCGACTGGTTTTGCTGATAAGAAGGCAAATTGAAATCGACGGCCTGGAAAGGCGAATAGATGAAGACCTGGCCTCCTAGCTTTGGGAGATCTTTCCTGCCTGCCAAATATTCAGAAACGGCTGCAGCAAATGTCCCTCCGCTACTCTCTCCATAGAGAACAATGTGATGTGGGTCCACTCCGTATTCCTCTGCATTTTTCAAAAAATGCATAGTAGCTGTGCAGCAATCCATAATTGGGATTGGGAATAGATGCACTGGAGCCAAACGAAACCTGAAGCAGAAATGAGAAACAGTCTGAATCCGCAATCCACATGATAATGACTCTGAATTTTAGGCACAGAATATCCTAAAAACATATGTTACAATTTAAGTCCAATGCCCTGTAGGGATGTGCACAGTGTTGTTTTTGTGTATAGTGTTCCTTCACTTATCCCGGTGTTATGTTTATTTACAGGATTTCTATACCGGTTTTCTCACCCCGAGGGGGACTCAAAGTGTTTGCACATAATTAATGGCAAAATTCAATGCCAGTACAATTACAATTATACACTACAATTTGACATAAATCAAGTTAAAAACAGTACATCCACAAGCAATTAAACAATCATTAAAACAATAAAACAGTCTCGTCCACCAAATCGCCGTTCCAGTCATTGTCTTTCTGAAATGCTGCATACATTTACTTCTACTGCCCGAAGCAGTGGTTCTCAACCTGTCGGTCCCCATGTTTTGGTCTACAACTTCCAGAAATACCAACCAGTTTACCTGCTGATAGGATTTCCGAAAGCTGAAGGCCAAAACATATGGAGGCCTTCAAGTTGTGAACCAGTGCCATAGAGTCATGTTGGAAGACAAGGAAAAGGCTTAAAGAGAAATCCAACCTAGAAATTGTAGGACTTTGCCATCAACCTCTGGTGGAAGAATACCAGAATTGGTAGGAAGACTTAGAAAATGGGTAAAGACAACTATTCCCTACAATTTCTCGGTCCACCAGTAAGACCATATGGTCGACTTCTGGTGGAAGCATACTATGGAATCATGTTAGAGGACAGGGAAAATGCTTAAAGAGCACACCTTGTCCCTGTCATCAACATCTGGTGGAAGCATATTGTGGAATTGAGTTGGAGGACCTCCAAAATGCCAATGTCTTTCAACCCAAAAAGATCGATACCTTTTCAAAAAAATAATGAGTGTCTTCAGGCTAAAATCACCTGGGATCATTTTCCTTCATACATTTTCATTCACCATGAGTAACACAGTACACTCATGATATGAATTTTTCCACCACATGATTGACATTTTGGAAAGGAACGTTCTGCATCTCCCTTAACATTTTGAAACAAGGCATCCATTTGAGACGAGAGACACCCTCTTCCTTTGTTTGTTGGCTTCTCCAATAGGAAAATAGTTTATTGAGAAAGGAAATACTGAACTGGGACTGTGGCGCAGATGGCTGGGAGTCAGTTGCATTAAGATCACTACTGACCAAGAGGTCAAGAGCTCGACACCAGCCTGGGTCGGAGTCAGCTTCTGACCATTTGTGCAGTTTGCTGTCAACCTGAAAGACAGTTGTATCTGTCAAGTAGGAAATTTAGGTACCGCTTATGCGGGGTGGCTAATTGTACTAATTTACGACATCATAAAATCTCCAGCAAGCATGCAAAAGAATGAGGAAGTACTCCATCGGTGTCACAAGTGGACAGCGAAGTCAACTCCCCTGGTGACCAGAATACCATCATCTAGCTGGAATTGCCTCTGTGTGTCTGTCTATACATGTTGTGTGTCTATGGCATTTAATATTTGCCATGTATATGTACATTGTAATCCGCCCTGAGTCCCCAGTGGAGTTAGAAGGGTGGAATATAAATGCCATAAATAAATAAATGAATAAATAAATAAATAATTCTTTGAGTCAAGTTTCTTGGAAAGGGAATAGATCGAATCGTGTGGGAGAATGTCCATTCTGATAGAGCCAGAATGAGTATGAAGTCACTTACGCAACAGTCATAACGACAGAATCGGTTTCCTGGGCAATGTAGCGGCACGGTAGGTCAACTAGCCCTGAAAAACACATCATATTTCAAGGGAGATTATTACTGGTGCGTTTCATGACTATGTACATAGAAAAATCCTGTATACTCCACCTGAACTCTGTTTCCTGGAGAACTTACCAACATTTCCGAAAACTCCACCACCTGCTGCAATGACAACCACTCCTCTTCTCTTCCCAGAAGGAGTTGTTTTGGGCCAATACACTCTGACCAGAACGCCATCAAAAACCAAGTCCTTGATCGTCAGTGTTGGGCTCCACTTGGGTATAAATATTCTGTACAACCACTCAAGTAATTTGAATGGATTGCGCAAGGGAGATTTTGTAAAAAATGAATCCTGTTTACAGAAAAATATAAAGGAGAAATAAATGTCATGTGGACACAGGGCTTACGTACAGAAAGTGACAGCTTTCGGCCAAATCTAGAAGAGATCATGCCATGAACATTTGATGGGACTGAGGCAAAGAGAAATGTTAACAATGGAAAATTACGAAGCCAGGAACAGACCTGCAAGCCAACAACGGGGGGAAATGGTTGTGAATTGCTGTTGTCAATTGTTGATAAGGAGGCACCAGATGAGAATAATGGGAAAGAGAAGTATGAATGAAATAGTTTGTGTGTTTGTCCAGGCTTAAAACCTAAGACTATAACACCCCCTGAGCTGCGTCCCCAGTGTGTGGCACTTGTCGACCCAACAGAGAGATCTGATCAAATAAATCTGTCATACCAGAACTTCTCACCTCTTAGGGTCTAATTGGACAGAGACCCTAGGGTTTTTGGGTTGCCTCTTTGGAAAGGACACAGCAGTCTGTCTCAGCACATTAACACACCTGTTGCAGTGCTTGGATGGCATCCATATGGTCCAGAAAGACCGAGACTGTGTCAGAACATCACTTCACCTTGTGTCTTGGCATGGCTACTCTCAGCTAGCCACCTGAATCCCTGGTCATTGCTGGTGCCCCATTCTAATGTCAGAAGAAGTATGTACAACTGGGAAGAAGAGAGTGCCCATCTCCCTCCCTCCCTTCTTTGCTTTGTTGCTGCCTCTCCCAACGTCATATCGGGGCACTGTCGATGACCAGGTGTTTACATAGTGCTCTACGGACCGTTGGGATCAGCAACAGTGGCAGCATGGACACAATCCATTCTCTTCCCCCCTGTGCTGGTGTATGGTTCACAGAGAAAACCAGTTCAAATAGGACCCAATCCAGCTGCCCAGTTGACCTCAAACCTGGAGCTTCAAGCAAATTCCAGGATATTCCCCAACCTTGTCTGAAGTTGGAAAGATTGGGTTCCACCCAGAATAACTCAAGATGCTCAGCAAAAGTACAAGAATGTCATGATACAATTCATGGTGGGATTTCATACCCAGCTCAAATTGTTTTCAATTCTTGTTGAAGGAATGTCCAAAAGAGACCTGTCACTTGGGCTGCTATTTCCACACTTGTGAGCTCTGGCCTCACAGCCCATAGGACACATTTCTTTTAGACACCTCCTTGATCTGGATATGAAAACCCACCATGAACTGTATCTTGGAGAAGGTCCCTTTTTAGAGCAAGAACTCTGATTCCACAACAAACTGCAAATCCCAGGATCCTGTTGAACCTAGACATGGTATCAAAGTGCTCTCATGGTCTCAAAGAGGATACAAATATCTCTAGAAGTTTCCAACAAGCATGTTTTGACTTTGGAAAGAAAGGTTCTCTCTGATGAGAACTTAAGGAAATATCGTCCCATTTTCAGGTACAAATGGGTCTGGAGTTTGTATGACAAGCCACCTTATTTTAACCTTTTCTGGAGGACATCGAACTGAGCGCTTCCAAAACTGAGAACTAGAATCACATTTACTGGCTGGAAATCAGAGCTGAAGATTTGAAACCATCTGTCCCCATGAGCTGAGTCAAAGCAACTCATGCCCTTCGGAAGGCCCTTGTCTTGGTGTGACACAGAGAAAGAAAGCATCCGTATGATGGTGCCACCAAAACATGTACACGAAGACACAGAGAAGTGCATTAAAAATCCAGACTTCTTACCGCAAGCACTCCAAAATTGACTCCGAGATGCAAAAATCGTATCCTTATGGGGTATTTGATTCCTGGGGGAATGTGCAGCCTTCTCTGATCACGATAAATGGCCCATGCAGCCCTCAAGAAGAGAGCAAGAAGGCTGGCATACAACGCGAGCATCCCCAGCGTGGCAAGAAATGCCATCCTCTTGACAAACAAGCATGAAAGGACTGTCCTTTTTCCTGGATGACTTCTGAGGTTCTGCATCCCATCAGGCTCCCCATTAAATAGGGAATTAAGTAATTACGAAATGCCACCCCCTGCCAGACAGTCATTAATTGGTTAGGGAGTGACTAATTATGTCAGATGCATGCCATCCACGCAGTTTATACCACAACACCCTTTTTTTGAATTACATTTTAGCTTAATCTAGCACAGCAGTTCTTAAACTGTGCTCCGCAGAACCCTTGGGGTTCCGTGAAGCTTATTAAAGGGTTCAGCGGTTCCCTTCCCTTCCTCCAAGCTTCCCCTCTTCTTTCCTAATCCTTTTTCAAGGGATACATCATGTGAACTGTGCTTTAGCTTAAAATACGACGGTTGAATGCAAACTAATGCCTCCATCTTTGTAACTCCTCAACAGATGGCAGTCCTGGTATGCGGCAGGTACTGGCTTGTTCAGTAGACTCTCCTCTACAGTTCCATTTTGGCAAGAAGCCTTAGCATTGAACAGTTGTGCTGTTAAAGTGCGAAGTGGGAAAGCAGAAAACCGAGAATAAAACACAGAAACATGATGGACAATAAAAAAAGAGGAGGCCTGGCTTAAAAACAGAGAAAGTGTTAGTACGCAATGACTCAGCCAAGGTGGCATTTATGTTGAGTTTGTTGTCTGGACCTGCGACCAAGTGGGCTGTTTTTATCGTGACTGGTAATAATCCAATTAAGAACAACTTAGTTGCTTTCAAGGAAGCTCTTACTAATGCCTTTGATGATCCGCTGCGTGTTGAGAACGCTGGATGGGCTCTGCATTGGTTGAGACATTGGTTGAGAGAAGCCCTTTATGCTCCTGTTTACTACAGGGTTATCTGAAGAGTTGCAGGACTAATTAGCTCGCTTGGAGCTAGCTACCACGTGGGATGAACTTGTTAAGAAAGGACTAAGAATTGGGGCACGCTTGGAGTTTA